TGTCTTAAATACAGTTTATTTCATTGCATGTTTCCATGATTTAATTTTTAATACTGACCACATTTAACAGTGGGTTCACAGAATGTCGGGGCGGCCTTGAGCAGGCGCTGAGCACGTACGCTTGGCCTCAGCAACGAAGGTGTGGAACTGGCTTCTGCTTGCAGCGTGAAGGCAGCTGGACCTCTCTTTGGCTGTACAGCTCTGGGAGTGGGCGTCACCCAAGGGGACGTTTGCTGTGCCATCCCTTGCCTTGTTTGGGAGGAACATTCTTGAATGTCTTCCCCCAACAAACAGGAGGGCGTCAGGTGAGCCGTCTCCTCGGCCTGCCTCTCTGAGGTGGAGGAGCCGTCACTGAACCCCAAGAAGGTCTGTCCTGTCTCTGTGTGGTTATTCAGTAGCCAGCCCAGTTCTCCCGGAGTGACCCTGACTGGGTCAGTTGTGAGTCGCAGCAGCAAGATTTTGAAGGACTATGGAATATTTCCCGTGAGCTGCACCACAAGAGGACCATGACAGAGATCCAGCCAAGATGCTCTGTAGTCCTCTGAATCATCTTATGTCCACGCTGTGGATGGACAAGGGCTGATTCCTATAGAGAGGTTTGTAAAAATGACGCAGCCTTTAAAGGTAGCAGCCTCCCAACACCTAGCCCATGTCACCTTTGACACCACTTTAGTCATATGGAAAATAAGATGGGGACTGCTTACTCTGTCCTCAGAATTTTGCAAATTTGTATACAAACGATGTGGGAATAATTATTAAAGATCTTTATGCGTTGCCTGTTTGAAAGCAGGCTGTGATGTTACTTTTACTGTGAACTATTATTTTAAACTTCCTGACTTCAATGTGTCTAGATTTCTGAACACAGTGACTTTCAAACACTTCCATTTAAAGGTATCATTTCCTTGGCAACAAGAAAACACACACACACACACACACACACACACACACACACACACCAAGACGCAGAAGCCACGTGTCCCAGGTGCCTTGTGGCTGGGTCGTTTCCTTCTACAGACCTGTCCCTGGGGGCAGAGCACTGGAGCCAGGAACATCCCTCCCAGACTCCTGTTTGCCAGCCCTGGCCACCTTCACAGGCCGTCCGGCCACAGTGGTGGAGATTCCTGCAGGTGTCAGCTGCCCTCTCCCTGGTGTGGGCGCTGCAAGCCAGGCAGGCAGGGTGTCCCCAACACCCGGCTGCTTAGGGCTCCATGTCCTCCAGCCTTGAGAAGGCCCCTGGCAGTGTCTGGCAGGGGCAGGGTGCTGTCCAGAGAGAGGCCAGCTTCCTAGGCAGCTCTCCCTCACTGGGCATCGCACACCTCCCTTCACCCTGTGTAGCCGGTGGACGCACTTGCTCTACCCCTAGGGTCTGTGTGGTCTGACACACAGGATGCACTTGAGGGCCACAAACAGTGGACAGTACCTGAAAGTGCCTGCTGTCTATGGGGGTCTCAATGGCACCTGTTGCTATTCATGGGGGCAGTGCCCTCAGGCACCCCGGCTGTGATATGTCCCCACCAGCTTCTTAGTCACCAGCACCACCTCTGGCCCAGGGGCCCTCTGCCCTGGCCAGTGCTTCCTCAACACACCAGAACACATTTTAAGGCATTGCAGAGGTAGCGTGGACGACAGAAAATCCTGCTCATGGTTTATTGATAAGTGCAAGACCCCCAGCCTCCTGTTGGACTCACGTGTTTGCCCCCTCCAACTCCCTGCTGAGGGGTGCTAAGTCCTTTCCATGTTCCAGAACGCGGACTGCTAGCTCTCTTGCAAGGGCACCTTGGGCTCCTTGTGATACCGCCGGTTACCGGTGAGTCCTGCTTCCCCACGTGTTGACGTCCGAACTGTAGAGACGCAGCCGAGGCCAGGATAGAAAGCAGGGCTTATTTCTCCTTCGAGGGAGAAGGGGCCGTAGCTGGTGTCCTGGTACCCCAGGGAGGTGCTCTGCCCTTTTATATGTCCTGGGCTTCCTTTGTTCTCCTTCCCACTAGGTGACTAGGCCCGGGACTGCTTGGTGGGACCCAGGGCAGGATGGAGCAGCCAAGGACACATCAACAACCTTATAGGTCCCTGTGGGGAGGGGCCACTCCTGGGACAGGTTGGAGCAGGCCAGGTTCTTGATAAGGGTGGAGGAAGGGCTCCGAAGGAGTTAACATTTCAATCCCTCAGAGGACAGTCTCCAACTTCCCAGACTCACTCAAAATTGGCCTCCTTGATCCGACCTGACTCAATTTACCTGTCTACACTGACTGCCTGTCTAATTGTGGCAACACTTGTTCGACATTTGTACATTGGCAAACTTGTAAACTTGGAATCTACAAGCCAAAGCACATATACATTTTAAGACTTTTGATTTCTGTTGTCTAAATGGCTTCTGAGAATTTTTGAAATGCTTGTTTTTAAATGTGGTTGTTCCTTATTTTCAGTAAATTAAGCTGAATACACTTTTTTTTTTTTGGTGGGGGGTACTAGGGATTGAACTCAGGGCACTTGACCACTGAGCCACCTCCTTAGCCCTATTTTGTATTTTATTTAAAGACAGGGTCTCACTGAGTTGCTTAGTGCCTCGCTTTTGCTGAGGCTGGATTTGAGCTTGTGATCCTCCTGCCTCAGCCTCCTGAGCTGCTGGGATTGCAGGCATGCACCTCTGCTCCTGGCTCTGAATACACTTTTTTTTAAAAAGTTGGGACCACTCTTTCCATGTACTAAATTTCTACCTAAGTTAGGTCTGTGTTCACACTTGCAATTCTTTCTCATCATCAGACCACCTTTCCAACTTTAGTAAGATGCTCTTTTAATCACTGTGGCTTCATGCTTTCTGTATAGTGGTTAAGAAAGTGGCCCATATCATGTTTTCATTTAAGTCATTCATTTTCTAATGAAATTTAGCAATATTTTTGGGTTTTTATTCAGTTGGAATTTTCAGATATTTATACTCACAAATTAATTTGCGATGGGTAGTATTTTACAGTGCTGCGTACACCTGTTAGAGAATGAAGGACGTTGTCCATACAGGCAGTGTTCTTTCATCTTTGGTTAAGTTTAACAGTCTTTCTAATTTGGGTCATGCTCGTCTTGTTAATTTCATTCTTATGAATCTGTGTCTATCCATCTAATTTTCTATCTAGCATCATTTTCTTCCACATGAAATACCTTCTTTATAATTTATTTTAGCACAAATTTTCTAGCAATGAATTCTTTCATGCTATGTTTCTCTGAAAGCCTTTTATCTTATGTTCATTTTTAACAGGATGCATTTACTTGGTACGGAATTCTCAGCTGTATGATTTTTCAGTACTTTAAAGTTGCTGAGTGGCCCTTTTCTCTTCTCCACTCCCAGGAAGCCTGTCGTTCGGCTGATCATCATCCCTCTGTAAGTCAAGTGGCTTTTTCCCACGGCTGCTTCCAAGACTCCAGCTAAGTCTGGGTCTGCAGAGGTCGGCTGGTGCTGCTCTCGGGCCTGGCGCTCAGCACGTGCCTCCGCGGGCCTCCGTGGGCCTGTGTGGGCCTCCGTGGGCCTGTGTGGGCCTCCGTGGGCCTGTGTGGGCCTGTGTGGGCCTCCGTGGGTCTCCATGGGCCTGTGTGGGCCTCCGTGGGCCTGTGTGGGCCTCCGTGGGCCTGTGTGGGCAGGGGTTTTGATGGACTCTGTGACGTTTCTGGCGTGACTTTTAGTGGGACTCCTCTCTTCTTCTGGCCCTGGTGCTCCCTCAGCCTCCAGCCCTGTCCGCAGGGCTCTGCTGTTTCCTGCAGCAGCCTGTCTGCTCTGCAGCCCAGCTCAGGACCCTGCCATCTGCCCTCCACGGGGCTCCACGGGGCTCCACGGGGCTTCTTTTCCTTTAACTGCAGTGTCGTAGACATGACGTAACGCTGATCCCTTAACCATTTTAAGTGCAGGTCGGCGGCACTAAGTTGTCACCATCCATTTCCAGAACTTCCTCATCTTTGCGACCTGGCTCAGTGCCCACTGAACCCAGACCCTCTGTCCCGCTGGCCGCGTGGCACTTCCTAGGGCCTCACATCAGGCGCCCCTGTGACGGAGCCGACCACGCCTTCTGTTCGCAGGTCCCTGCTGTGCTTGGTGCAGTGTGTTCAACCTCACTGTGGAGTGGCACGGGAGAGTCTCCTTCCTCTCTAAGGCTGAATGACGACCCACGGTGTCAGGCCACACTGTGTTCTCCCTCACCTCCTGGCAGAAACTCGGGCTGCTTCTGTCTTCCATTATCGTGGGAAATGCTGCTTTAACGCCCCACAAAGATCATCTGCACAAGTCCCTCCTTTGACCTCTCCAAGAGTTCCCAGAGGTGAAGTGCGGGGCACGTGGCCGCCCTGTGTGACTTCCGAGGATCCGCTGCCCTTACTCCATGGTGGCTCTGCGCCTGACATCACGTGGCCTCCCACATGTGCTGACACTTGCTTTCCATTGACATTTGACCTATTTAATCGGACAACATCCTCCTTGTGCACCAGTGGTAGCTCTCTGTGGTTTGGATCTGCAGGCTCTCAATTCAAGCACACTACTGCCTCATCCAGACCCCTTCCTGCACCACCGTCTGAAAAGTGTCCACAGGCCACACTGTGTGTGTGTGTGTGTGTGAGTGTGTGTGTGTGTGTGTGTGACGTGTAGCTCTATGAGCTCTCTGTAACTGGCTCAAGGGGTGGAATGAGCTGAACCACCAACAAGAATGATATAAAAAGCAATCACTTCCCCTGGGTCTGGAGGCCCCTCTTGGCCATACACTGTCCAGGAGCCTCCGGCTGGTCACCTCTGTGGGTCAGGTGCCACCATGCCCATAAGGAAGCCAGGGAGGAGGCCAGGGAGACCTGACACTCTCCTGTTGACCTACAGACAACAACACGATCCCTTCCAGGTAACCAGGGGGTATGTAACTGCCAAGATGACTCTTCTCCATCTCCAAGGACTCAGAGAAACACTCTGCAGAAAGAAAGCTGAAGAACTAGAACAGAGAGAAACAAAAGATGAAGAAACCAAAGGAACAGAAACATCACAGGAAAAGAGATTTAGAAATTAATCTGTCCTACAGGTCATGTCCCAAGTTCTACATACAGTTTCTTTGGGCAAGGATCTCACAGCTAAAACATCTTTGGGAAACTTTTCATCCAATCTTCCCACCTTCCTGAGTTCTAGGGGGTGGGGGTAGGGAGCCCATCAAGATGAGCCACACTATTCGTGGGGCCCAGGACAAAATACAATATATGGCTTCTTGTTCAGCAATTTGGGGGAATTCTGGACAGCAACAGAAGAGCACAAAGCACAGAGACCGCCAGGACGTTGCTGTCCGTCTGGCTGGACGCCACAGCCGGTGCCTGGTCCGGAGCACAACCGCAAGTCGCCTACTCCCTGCCTCTTGCTGCAGTGATGATTAACGCGGAGCTCTCAAGAGGCTTTTGACTTCTCAGCTTTGCTGTTCTTGGCCTTCTGGACATGCACACTGAGCTGAGTCAAGGAGAAAAGCATATCCCTCAGGGAGGGCCCACAGGGACACAGCTCAGTAAGCACAGTGTGTTCCTGCTGAAGCTGGGCAGCAGGGACAGAGAACAGGCTGACCTGTGCCTTGCTCTTGCTGGGGTCCTGAGCAAGATGTGATGGCTGCGCTCCAGGTAAATCGTGCTGGGCAGCCTTCAGTCTGTCCAGAAGAGGCACCCATCTGTCTGGGTACAGTGGGTCCTGAACAGGCCGGCTAACTAGGTCAGGCTCTGCACAGGGTGGCCTCCGGATTCTTCTGCTGGGCTCAGAGGGACCTAACAGAGACAGAGTTGGACAAATGGAGCTGGTGAGTGGTGGGGAGGGAAACCTTCAGCAGCGCCAGCCAGACAAGGGCACTAGGTGGTCCAGCTTGTCCAGTCTGGCCTGGGAGCAGATGGAACCACAGCCTCTACGACCCACTCACTACCTTGACCACACTCTCTGTAGCAGTGTCACCATCCACAAGGTGCCCTCTCCCAGAGAAGAGGATGCACACAAAAGCCCACAGAGTTCCTGAACAGAATCACAGCTGTATGTGCGTCCAGTTTGAAATAGTAGCTGGCTAGCTGTCCCACCATCCATGTCACACAGACACGTTCTATGAGAATTTCCTTTTGCGACTGAACTGAGGAAGCCCCATTCAAAATACGTGTTCTGTCTCTTTAAACTGTCAGGGGCCAGGGCGTCCTGCGGAGCAGTCAGCCGGTCCCCTTTGACCTGAACGCAGGCCTTGGGCCACCCATCCTGCGCCCTGCAGGAGTGGCGGGTCCCTGAATGGCCCTCCGCAGGGCTGCGGATGCGGACCCACCCACCGCACCGTGAGCCTTATCCCCCAGCCCACCTCGGGAGGGCGGGCCTGGCGCAGGGCATGCTGGGCACTGAGTCCGAAGCCTTCCGCCGGCAGAGCGGCCGCGCAGAGCATGCTGGGAAGTGTACCGCGCCACTCTGCTCGGCCTCGCTATGCATGCCGGGAGGTGCCCTTCCCACAGACACAGGCGCTCCCTCTGCGCAGTGCATGCCGGGAATTGAGCCCAGCACCCGCAGGCCGCCCAGTGCAGGTCCTGCTACTGGTCTAGGCACCTGCGATGTCCCTGGGGACCGTCCCCTAGCGCTCTACCCAGACCCCAGGCTCCATCTTCCCCAACCTAGCATTGAGAGACTGATGTCACCCCATTTTTTAAAATAAATAACAGCAGCTTCTACCTTAAGGCCTGTCCTAAGGAAGGGGGCGTGACCCTTGTCCTGGGAAAAACCCACAGAGCACTCCTAGGTACTTAGCCACCTGCCGAGTTGTTTGTAAATAACCGGAGAGGTCTGAGGCGGCCAGGTGTAGGTGAGGACCCATAGCAACCCCCTAGCAACCTCCAATCAGCAGGAGACAGGGAAAATGATCAATGTTAAGAGTTGTTGTTTGATTTTCCCACGGTATGGAATGATTTGCTGTGATGTTGGGACGCATAGAGTATCCCCCCAAACCTATAGAATCTCACTGAACAGAGGACTGGGACTCACTCCCTGAGACCGCTGTGTCAGGAACCCTTGTGAGTCCAGGCTCGAGCTTGCAATGAAGACTCTTGTGGGATTGCATCGGATTCGGCTCCTGGAGGTCTACTGGGGCCCCACGAATCTGGCATAACAGTATCTGCCCTGACCCTAGGCTTCTTCCTTGAGCTCACGGTCCCCCAGGCTCCATTTTCTCTGAACCAGTGCCCTCCCAGCCCCCAGGCCCCACCTTCCCTGGGCCCAGTGCCCTCCCAGGCTCCATCTTCCCTGTACCATTGGTCTACATGTCTATTTTGGTGCCAATACCATGCTGGTTTTGTTACTAAGCTCTGTAGTATAGTTTAAGGTCTGGTATTGTGATGCCTCCTGCTTCATTTTTCTTGCTAAGGATTGCTTTAGCTATTCTGGGTCTTTTATTTTCCCAAATATATTTTATGATTGCCTTTTCTATTTCTATGAAGAATGTCATTGGGATTTTTATAGGAATTGCATTCGATTTGAATAACATTTTTGGTAGCATGGCCATTTTGACAATACTAATTCTGCCCACCCAGGAGCATGGGAGATCTTTCCATCTTCTGAGGTTTTCTTCAATTTCTTTCTTTAGTGTTCTGGAGTTTTCATTGCAGAGGTCTTTCACCTCTTTTGTTAACTGATTCCCAGGTATTTTATTTTTTTGAGGCTATTGTGAATGGAGTAGCTTTTCTAATTTCTCTTTCAGTGGCTTCATCGCTGATATGTAGGAATGTGTTTGATTTATGGGCGTTGATTTTATATCCTGCTACTTTGCTGAATTCATTCATTATTTGCTGAATTAATTCATTCTAGAAGTTTTCTGGTGGAAGTTTTTGGATCTTCTAGATCTAGAATCATGTCACCAGCAAACAATGATAGTTTTGAGATCTTCTTTACCTATTTGTATTCCTTTAATTTCTTTCTTCTGTCTAATTGCTCTGGTTAGAGTTTCAAGGACTGTGTTGAATAGAAGTGGTGAAAGAGGACATCCTTGTCTTGTTCCAGTTTTTATCAGGAATGCTTTCAATTTTTCTCCATTTAGAATGATGCTGGCCTTGAGTTTAGCATATATAGCTTTCACAGTGTTGAGGTATGTTCCTACTATCCCTAGTTTTTCTAGTGTTTTGAACATGCAGGTGTGCTGTATTTTGTCAAATGCCATTTCTGCATCTATTGAGATGATCATATGAGTCTTGTTTTTAAGGCTACTGATATGATGAAATACATTTATTGATTTCTATATGTTGAACCAACCCTGCATCCTGGGGATGAATCCCAGTTGATCATAGTGCACTACCTCTTAAATATGCTTTTGTATGTGATTTTCAGAATTTTACTGAGAATTTTTGCATCTATGTTCATCAGGGATATTGGTCTGAAGTTTTCATTCCTTGATGTGTCTTTGTCTGATTTTGGTGTCAGGGTGATTAGCTTCATAGAATGAGTTTGGAAGGGTTCCCTCCTTTTCTATTTCATGGAATACTTTGAGGAGTATTGATGTTAATTCTTCTTTGAAAGTCTTGTAGAACTCAGCTGAGAACCCATCTGGTCCTGGGCTTTTCTTGGTTGGTAGGCTTCTGATGGCATTTTTTTTCATTACTTGACATTGATCTGTTTAAAGCACGTATGAGCTCCTCATTCAGTTTGCGAAGGTCATATGTCTTTAGAAATCTGTTGATGTCTTCAATATTTTCTACCTTATTAGAGCATAAATTTTCAAAATAATTTCTAATTATCTTCTATATTTCAGATGTGTCTGTTATAATATTTCCTTCTTCATCTTGTATTTCAGTCATTTGAGATTTCTCTCTTTTTATCTTCATTAGCATGGACAGGGGTTTATCTGTTTTATTTGTTTTTTCCAAAGAACCACCTTTTTGTTCTGTCAGATTTTTCAATTGTTTCTTTTGTTTGATTTCATTGATTTCCACTCTGATCTTAATCATTGCTTTTGGTGTTTTTTGTTCTTATTTTTCTAGGGCTTTGAGATGGAGTGTTAGATCATTTGTTTATTGAAGTTTCATTCTTTTAATGAATGAACTCAACATAATAAACTTTCCTCCTAGTCCTGCCTTCATAGTGTCCCAGAGATTCTGATATGTTGTATCAGTGTTCTCATTCACCTCCAAGAATTTTTTATTTCATCCTTGGTTTCTTCTGCCAACCATTCATCATTCAACTGTGTGTTCTTTATTCTCCATTGGTGACAGGAGCTTCTATTTTTTATTTTATCATTGATTTCTAATTTCATTCCACTGTGGTCTGACAGACACAGGGTATTATTATCTCTGCTGTTTGCATTTACTAAGAGTTGCTTTGTGGCATAAGATATTAAAAATTAAAAAAAAAATGTCCTTTAGGAAGACCAAGAGTCCAGGAGGGTAGAATGGATGTGCCCAGTGTCCCTCTGCTCTTCTCCTGGTCCCCAGAGGGCCCGGACATGTGCCTGGCCCCTCTGGGCAGTAATTCTGGTCCTGAGCGAGGCCTGCTCACAGATGTCCCTCTGTGGTTACCTCCTTGTCCCTGAGGGTCTCCGAGAGAAAGACCTGGAAGCCTGGAGCACAGGTGCCGGGGTTGCGACAGGTGGGACAGGTGGGACAGGTGGGACAGGTGGAACAGGTGGGACAGGTGGGACAGGTGGGACAGGTGGGACAGGTGCGACAGGTGGGACAGGTGGGACAGGTGGGACAGGTGGAACAGGTGGGACAGGGGCACAGGGCCTGCTGAGGGAGGGGGAGGGCCCTCCTGAAGGGGTGCATGTGGCAGGGGAACTCCCTGGGAGGGGACTCGCCACAGGGTCAGCACTGTTCAGTGAGGTGCCAGGTTCTGTGAAGGGGGCAAAGGAAGTGCAAGGTCCTTGCCTTTCAGCTAGCTGTGCCCAGAGCGGAGAGAACTGGAAGGAGCGGCCCGTCAGGGGGAGGCGTGGTGGTGTGCCCAGGCTTTTGGCTGTCGATGGGAGCCGGGAAGAACTTCAAGAGCTCTCTCAGGACTGGGTTAGTGGAAGATACCCGTCCCTCTTACCCAGTAAAACCCCGCACAGGGTAATCACCGCTCAACAAATAAGACGAAGCACCGCTCTCCACGTGCCAGAATTCCAAGGCGGCCTCCCTGCTGTGCGTCTGGAGGAATTCCAGCCAGGGTCCAGCCCGGGGTGCAGTGCAGAACAATATCTGCACCCAGCCCTCGCTCCCACCTGGCCCCACTCATCCACCTGAGGACCCAGGCCACCTGATGTCCTGGTCCCTCTTTACAGGGCTGTTCCCTGATGGATCCCTGGCGTGAGGCTGCCTGGAGGAGAGCAGGGCAGGCCGTGGGGTTGCACAGTCCCGTTTGGATTCTGGTCTGTCGCTCGCCGGCTGTGAGATCCTGAGTCGGTGCTGAGCTGCTCTACACATTGTCCACACACAGATGAGCTCTATCTGTCTGCCTGTGGCTGCTGTGAAGACCACGGCAAGGCATGGAGAGTGGACGCTGCATGGACCTCAGCCCAGAGCAGCCATGTGGCCACGCATGAGGGTCCTGAGCCGGCAGATGGATAGGAGCAGCAGAGCAGGAGAGGCCAGGGGCTGGGCTGTGTTTTCCACTCTTGTCCTGCAGGAATGGACACAGAGGCACAGTGGGGCTTGGACACGTGTCTCTGAGGAGCAGTGAGAAAGTGAGGGAGCTCCTTCCAGCAGAGGCCCTGGTGTGCAGGAAGCGCTCGGTAGCCTTTGCTCTGTGCACCAGGAGGAGGAAGAGAGTCCATCCTCTGGAAGCCGTTTCCCACCATGAGCAAGAGCCATGGCCCCACGCCGCTGCCGCTCAGGATGGGACACAGGCACGGTGTTTCCTAGAGGGGGCTTTGGTGTAAGGGTCTGGAGAGGAGCCGGGGAGCCAGCCGCCCTGATGGTGCTGACAGAGCAGCAAGGGCAGGGAGAGCCGGTGTGGCCAGGAGCAACAGCAAGGTGAGGGTGAAGCACACAGCACATCTCGGGGAGAAGGGCCTGGGCAGGCGGTCACTGGCCGGGAGTGGACAAGGACAGGTGGAGGTCATCTGTCCCCAGTGGGGCCAGGCACAGAGGCCTAGGCTGAACGCAACTCCAGCCCTGAGGCCTGGGGTCTTCACTAGTGCTGGAAGACCACACGCTGGGCCTCCAAGTCCATGGGCAGCTTTGTTCCTGGCCTCTGTCCCTCTGGCCTTCCTTGCAAAGCCTCACCTGGGTTCCCTTGGGGGATCAGTGGGAACCCTGCCTCACTCTAAGCTCAGCCTGGGTTCAGGCCTGTTCTCAGGGTTCGCTGTGTGCCTTGCCTTTCTAGATCTGTTATTGTAAAGATCTTGTGGCCATAAAATAGCTCTTAGAATGCAGGCTTTCGCTGCTTGCAGGAGCTGTTGCAGAGGAACCCAGTCTGACCCAAATCCAACTTGGTTCAGTTAGTATGTGCGGTCCTGTGCATCTCCCGTCCCACTCCACG